GTGTTATGAAACGAGAAGATTATTTGATATGATTCAGAGATAGCTCAGGTATAAGGTAAAAAAAAATAACACCTTTGATGTTTTACATTACACTTCAGTTATTCCTTGAGGGGCAAATTCTCGTCACCTTACCCAGGTGAATATTGCACTCGGTAATTTGGTCAAAAACATTCCATCAACCTTCTTTTTAACAGAAAAAGGGGGTGGGGGGGAGTTCAGCTTGATGGAGATTTCTGCCAAAAAGAAGGAAAAAGAAAAGGTAAATCCATGTTTTTCAACAATCAGAGAAAAAAAATAATCGGGAAAAACATCTGTTTTGGAGGGATTTTTCTAACAGAGGAATAAAACATCTTTTTTTTTTTGCCGAAGCCGAAGGAGAAACAACAATTTCCCAACAATTGCAGTCTCCATCTGGCACAGCTATTTCTAACTGAGGCATCAGCCATCTATGTGCCATCACCCAGGTCTGATTCTCATCTTGCCTCTCTTGGGTCAAGCTACAAAATGAGGTTTTGTCCCTCTTATTTTATGTGCTATCAGAATGAGACCGACAGGACCACCTCCCATGAACGAGCAGGACAGGATTCAGGTACGTTGCATTCAAAGTCAGGTGAGATCTGCAGGGCTGGTGGCCCTACCTCAGGAAGTCCAATGAAGATTTTCCATTGCTAGAAATACAGTGAGGGCAAGGGCAGGATATCCATAGAGTGGTTTCCTTGAACGCTACTACTTCTTTTGAACTATTCCTAAAGATTTCAGGGAAAAATCACCCTCAGTCAGCATAACAAAGGCAATAAAACCTTCTGTACAGGCACAATGTACTGTGGCCAACTTTCATGGACTTGGTGAGTGACAGGGCAAATCAAAAGCCTCCTCCTTCAGAGGAGATGCAAACCACAGTCCATGGCCAGTGGCAGTAATTGAAGCCCTGTTTCCAAAAGAGTTGGCGGGTGATGAAACCCAGTGCGGATGGCTGTGTTCTGCCTCTTGAATCCCCTCCCACCACCCCACAATATGCTCGGTGTTGCTGGGGGTGGGGGGTTTAACTTTACTGGCACGAGAGTTTCCTTTGTTGATGGGAGCTGGGTCTCCTCTAGGGGACTGGGCTGATCCAGCTGTACTGGCAAAGCCTTTGTAATGTGGAGTAGCTCAAGTGCAGACCTGCAGTGGGTGCCTGCCTGAACCTTTGCTGGCATGTCGATAAGGCCAGCACTGAGCAAAGTTAAACGACCCCGTGCTGGAGAAGTGCCATACGTAGGAGCCAGCAAGCATCTGTGTTACTGATCCAACGCGTCTCTTGAAATGCCTTCGGACTGTACTTCGTTTCAAGCAGGGACTGCCTTTTTTAGTAGCTGTGTGTGCTGGAAGAGCCACGGTCCCTGGCTGGGAGTTTCGGAGGGTACAGGCAGCGCAGGGCAGAGGTACCAGGCAGTTGTGCTTGCAGCCGTCAGCACGACTGTGGTTTCACATCGAGTACCGCTGCACTGCATCAGTCTTGCCCAGTTGAGGTGGCATCTTTCTAGACACCTAGAAAGTGGAGGAACCAAGCAAAGATGAGACTTCCTGCAACACTTAGCTTTAGCGTCCAGCAGATGGGATCTGTGGGCTCCCAACTACCCCCCATGAGATCACTGCTCCCTCAAAGCCAGAAGAAGTCATTTTACAGGGTGATTCCTATGGCTGCCAGAGCAGAGAGGACAGAGGCCTGAAGTTTGAGCCTTTCTCCAAGGGAAGGACAATACTCCGCTGACTTTCCTGGGAGCAGGCTAAGCCCTGGTCTGCTGGGCTATCACCTGGCCCAGACTGGGAAGAGGCTCATTGTCATGGAGAACTGCCCATCCCAGGCATGGCCTTGGCATTTAGAGGGGAGTGGGGACTCTCAGAGTGGGACCAGCAGGCTAATTGCCTTTGTCTTCCCCCTTCTTCAATGGGGGAATCACAGTAAATCCCCCAAACCCATGACAATAGCCCTGCTGCTTTTAAGTGCCTTTCATTAAACTCAATCCTCTTGCCCTCCCTCTCTCAAGATTTGCTAAAAGAAGAGTCTCTTTTAATGACAAAAGGAAACCTAAAAGGCTGCCATTAGCTCATTCGCTTGGCTCCTCTCTGCAGACTAGGTGTCTATTTGCTGAAATCTACTCTCAAGTGTCCCTTGGGCAGGTTGCTTTCTCGTGAGCACACCAGCCTTTGGGGTGGTGTGTCCACAGGAGGGGCCACAGCCCCTGGTTCCAGCTAAGGGCTCACTTTCCCTGGAGGGAGCGGGATTTGGTGCTAATGGCAGGAAAGGTGCACCGGGGATGGGTAGAGCTGCCAAAACCTCCCTAGAGCCCACCACCATCCCTCAGGAGCGGGGCTGGAGCACTGTGGTGGGTGAATCCTTCCCTGGTTCTGCTCTGGCAGGTTCTGGCTATGCCACCACCCAACCGCTGTGGCACGAGAAGGTCTGTTGAGCCATGGGATATTTGCTGAAGACATACTGCCAGAGGCAGACCACACAGCAACACAAATTTGCTACTGATTCGGGATCCTCAGGAGCAAACTTCTATGGGTACCGTCTGCAGAAACATACAGCTGATGGAAATGGCGGAGGGTAAATCCTGAAACAAATTTGGATGAAAGAACATGAGCTGGAGACATGCAAGTGTCCCGCATTGGCCCACTGCTTGCTAAGATCTGACAACAGGCAGGTGGAGCAGAGAAGGGGTGCAATGGTCACTTAGATACATGAGCAAGCAGTTCCTGGCTTACTTAAGGACTGGCTTTAAATCTTTTGAAGGTGTTGGGAATCCCTCCACTGCATTTAGACCAAACTCAGCAGTCCAGAATCCAAATAAAGCTATTCCACACCTAGTGCGATTGAACTCGAGCAGGACAAGACTGACCACCTTGTCTTTTTGCTAGTGGCAGTCGGCCCTTTCCCTCCCATTATTACCATTATCACTACCACTGCATCACCCGAGACGCAATTAAAAATCAAGACATGGAGGAATTACCCCTAAAGCCAGGAAGATGGTATCTGTGCCGGGAAGGGGTGAGCGAGAGGGGGAAGAGGCAGGAGTTGCCACCCGCCCACTGGTCTCAGCTATTGCACAAATGGCAGTTGGCCAGTGCTGGGGAAAGTACTTGGTCCCGATCCCAAGCACATGGAAGTCATCTGACGTTTCGTCACGGCTTCATTATATTTTGGATCAGGCCAGTGGTTTGTCTTGCATCACTACCCTGTATGTTATGCAGGTAGCCAGTGAAGAGGCGCTGCATCGCACTGCCAACAATTTTGTTTTCTGAATAGCCTGCAGGGATGGCCTTATATCAGGGCAGATGCATATATGTTAAATAGCTGCAATTTCATGCTTAACTTCATTATTGATGCTACATTCCTCATGAAGACATTTATATTTACGCTCTACCCGCACACAGCGCCTAAAAAACAGCTTATGCAAACGGCAAGAACTGGGAGTTGATCGTTTTGCATAATGGCTGCTCCAGGATGGATTCTCCTCTCCCAGCAGCATGAACCGGGGAGGATTCTCAGGAGCGCCTGTTTACAGCGGACGGCCGCCTGGCCCGCTGGCTGACTGGCCCGACTTCTCATCTAGCCTGACGTTTTAAGCAGGTGCAATCCTATTCGAAAAACCGATCTGCAAAACGGCTCGAGCCAAAGCCAAGCTCAGACTTCGTACCTCCTACCAGCTAGCGCCACGCTGGAACCAGCCCCGCTTCTTTTACTTTCGCCAGCTTTTATTTTTTTTTTTTACTAAACCAGGCTGAAAAAGGACAGTTGTAATTCAGACCGTTGACAAAAACAAACAAAAAAGCCCAGAGTGCCCACCCTGCACAGCGAGACTATGAGAGGCTGCAAATCAGCTCAGATGCGTCTCCTTCGGGCCCAGAGCAGGTTTTTTTCTGCCTTACTGCGCAGATGGAATCGTTCGTAAATCTTTGCACCTTTTATCCCAACCCACGTGAAAGCAAAACCTGGCTCCCACAGAGTTTTACGATACCTCAAACATACTGAGGAACGACCAGGCAAAAATCTAACAATTGTTAACATTTTATTCCCAACAGCTGTTCAGCCTGAAAAGTTGCATTAATATACTAACGAAGAAAAACAAAACCAACAAAAAATTCAAAACAAATAAAACAACAAAAAAGAAGGGGAAACGAAGTAAAATAAACTTTAACAAAGTTTAAAACACATTATAAATAAGTACAGCTCCAGAGCATAATTTACAAATATAAAACCACATAGAAACATATGTACAGAAGAGTTACATTACGTACAAATATGTATAAAAATACCCCAGTGTTTATTCTCTTGCTAAAGCTGCATGGCTAGAGTTATCTTTGGTACTAAGCTCAGGGGAAAAGATTGTTTTACAAGACACGGCCCCGGCTGTACAACATGCCATACACAGGAAGACCAGAGAGAACCTCTGTGGGTTTTGAGGAGGTTTTGGGTGGGTGTTTTCCCAGGGCATCTCCCCCGTGCATTGCATATTGCAGGATCAGGGCAGAAAGCAAGGGCTTACAGAGGCAATTGCTGGCAGAAGAGTTTTTTAACACATTGTACAAGGCACTTCATAAGAAATCTCTTCATTTGTTTTTTCCTGTTCTCTTCTAAGACTCACTGGATATCTACACTTGGCTCTTGCTGATATCGCTTTACGGTTACAGTTTTTAAACTTCTTATTCTACATTCAGGATTAGAAACCTCTGAAAACATTAATTCAGTTCACTTTCATCTGCAGAAGTTAGATGGCAAGCCATCTAAACCACCTAACATTTTCCAGGATGGGGAAAAGACTTTGCATCTGCCTTCCGCTGGTGTTTAAGGGGCGTTCTCATTTTGAAAGGTGAGAAGATCTGTCTTCCTGGAAGAACTCCCGGGAAGCGTCCACATTGAAATGCTGTTTGCAAAAGCATACGGTCCTCCGTGCTGCCAAATACACCTGCAACTCCCATTCCCTTTGCAGAGCTCGCCGGCTGACTGCCCCAGCATCCTACACCTCCGTCCCATCCCGGGTGTAGATGAGGCTGTTAACCGTGAAGTTGTAGTAGTGGTTGTACTGGGCTCCCTGGCTGCTGCTGCTGGGATGGAAGGAGCTGTAGTAGGCGGGGGAAGGTCCCGCCACCCGCTGCAGCTGGTCTGGCGAAGGCACCTCCTGAGAAGAGCTGCTGGAAGGGGTGAAAGTGCCACTGCTCAGCTGTCCAGCAGAGAAGTTCCTGTGATGCAGGTCACTGCCGAGACCCCCTGTCAGCCGGCTGCCTCCGCTGCTCAGGGAGCTCATGCCGCTGAAGAAGGTGCTGAGGCAGCTAGGGGTGGATGAAATGATACCGGAGGGAGAGGAGCTTTTTGGATGGTCCCTGGCAGAAGGCGAGGGGTCCAGCTCTGGGGGTGGGCTGTTTCCACACGGTTTGCCTGTGGCTGGGATGGGTCGCTCTTCCTCGGCCTTCAGGCCCCCCAGAGAGGAGGCTGCAGATGCAGTCGCGGGGGCGTTGGGCTCAGAGCGCCGCTTGCGTTTGCGACGGAAGTTCCCATTGTCAAACATCTTCTCACAGTTGGGATCTAAGGTCCAGTAGTTTCCCTTCCCTGGTGGAAAACAGGAGAAACAAGAGAGAAAGTCAAATTCTGTGACAGCAAGCCCCACCGCAGACAGATAAGCAATATCCATGCCTTGTCTGATCTGCACAGCACCCACACCTCTCCTATACCTCTTCCTCCTCCGTCTGTTGTCCAGAACAAGGATTCAAGACCTGGCTCCAGGACATCATCACACCCACTCCTCCAATGCCCAAGTGAACCTTGAGGCCACATGGAGGAGGAGAACCTCCCCACCACAGAGCATAAACCTCCCTGGAGGATCTGCCACCCACACCTCTCCTATACCTCTTCCTCCTCCGTCTGTTGTCCAGAACAAGGATTCAAGACCTGGCTCCAGGACATCATCACACCCACTCCTCCAATGCCCAAGTGAACCTTGAGGCCACATGGAGGAGGAGAACCTCCCCACCACAGAGCATAAACCTCCCTGGAGGATCTGCTCCTCTACCTCAGACCTGGCCAAAGGGAACACGAAGCAGGGCTCCCCCTGCTCTGGCTGCCTCACAGCAAGCAGGGGCACGCACTTAGTGTGCGGGGGCTGTGGTGGCATTAGCTGTCCCCACACACCTCTTGCCCATGCCCGGGCCTGACGGGAGCAGTGACCCCACAGCGTCCCCCCAAAGACCCCAGAGCGGCACGTCCCCTCCTTGCCGGGCCGGACCTGCATCGTCCCGGCGCGCCTC